GAATTCACATGTTTCAATAGTCATTCAAATGGTGCCGGCTTCAATCCGACTTTAAAAAATATTTCATTTCCATGCATTTAAATACAAGCAGTACAAAAAGACTTTTTACTTTTAATTAAGGAAGAGTTATGTAGAAAAAGTAGAGGCTTCAATGAGTCTCAGGAGTTTCCTGGGTTTGGGAGATCAAATATGATTGGTGGATTGGTGGGCTGGAAGCTCACTGTACATGTGGAAGAGTTGATGAACGTGGTGTAACCGTCTGTCATGATTCCATACCCTGAGAACCAGAAAAAATGTATATATTTGTATTTATCTCATAAAATCATCTTCATTTATTTGAAATGCAAAAACAAAACAAACAATTGCTGTGATTTTGACAGTTAATGTTTGAACATATTGGATGGAATTTTGTAAATATACATCTCGCTTTAGGTAAAACAACATCAATAATAATAATAATAATAATAATAATAATAATAATAATAATAACAAATCTAAAAACAATAAAAAAGAATAACAATTAAATAAAATGTATGAATGATAATAATGACAATAATAATAAATAAATATTAAAAACAATAAAATGTATAACAATTAAAATTGAATGTATAATGATAACAATCTTAAAAACAACAAAAATATATAAAAATACAAATTGAATGTACAATAGTTATAATATTACTCGTAGTATTAATAATATTAGCAAAAATTATGCAAAACCTTAAGATGTATTAATGGCAATTTTGGTCAAACATTAGCAGCAAAAAAAAAAAAAAAAAAAAAGTATGAACCCTGTATGTATATAAAATGTAATGCAGTAATAAGAATCTAAAAATACATTTGCTGTGTAATTTTTAAGTGTAAAAGAAATAAATATAATATTTAAAAATATATACACTGCTTAATTGTTGCCTTAATTTCTTAATATAATACAAATGTTTATATTCTTATGCTGTTCACACCAGACATGGCACATATTGTGCTATTTACGTGTAAATAGACGCATGAACATTTTGAGTTTACTTAATTGTGTCAAATTCGCTTAATCTGCGCTTCTAATTCACCTAATAATAGACGCGTATTCCAGTCATTTGTTGCTAAATGTCTAACATGGATTTTACTGTGCTTTATCTACTTTAGGAAGGCGAAAAACAATGTAGGTTCGTAGGCAGTGTGTCTGATCCACAAGATCCTTTCTCAGGTGAACCCATCTCTGTGAGTTCATCAACTCCAGAAACTAAGGGTGCTTTCACACCTGTGAATCGATTCAGTTGTTCCGAAACAGAGATTACAAATGTTACATTGTTGCTCTTTGCTCTTGGAGCGGTTTGCTTTCACACTGCAAAGTTTCTAATCGGACCAAAAGAGCTAAAACAAGTCACGTGTGAGTAAACCCTCCTCACATTGGTCAGAGTGTCAGGGTTTATTTTGCAGAGTCCCGCTCAGCTGTCAGGAGAGGTGGTGGTTTGGTGGTGTTTGACAAGGTGCGCGCGACGTGTCTGAAGAGTGAGGAGAGATGTGGTGGGGAGGGGTGAGAAGGGTGCGCGACGTAGCCTATTTGAGGACTGGGAGGGAGACGCGAGATTACCGGGAGATCATCACTCGTTTGCGGGCATCCAGAGACTTGCGAAACTTCCCGCCATACTCATAATTCTCTCTTCATATAGCCGTAAGCCTATTACATATCCATAAAACACTGTGATATAACCGTGCTCAGACCGTATCGCTTTCTCACTGCAATCGATCCGCTCCAGAGTTTGTTTTAATCGAGCCGAGACCACCTCATTCAAGTGATCTCGGAGCGATTGTTTTGGAGCGGATCCAAGAGCGATTGGTGGTTTCACATATGCCAAACGAACCGCGCTAACTGGGCAAACGAGACAGGTTACGAATAAAAAGTGTAGGTGTGAAAGCACCCTAAACTTGAATGATGAGCTGTTGTTTAGTGCAGGGGTTTTCAAACTGGGGTCCGCGGCCCCCTGGGGGGCCGCCAGATGGCGCTAGGGGGGCCGCAAAGAAATTTTAGATCAATGAGCCCACATGGATGAATTTTGTGTCCTGCATCATTCTGAAGGTTAAAATATTTTTATTATAATTTGAGCTCAAAAGTACTGTAAAAATTAAGCTTTATGCTTATGTCATTTAAATGCAGTTGACACTTTCGTGACACAGGAAAAGAAGCGCAGCGGCCCGCCTCCGTGGACGGGGACTTTTATTGAATAAGCGCTTCTGGCCAGGCGCTTCCTGACTGTGATTTTTGGCGCTTGTCTGCTGCACCTGACGGCGTTTACCTTTCACTTACGCTTACCTCTTTTACGCTAAACAACTAAATGAATGCTCAGGTTTGACTGACTATATTTCAGTTAAAATACATGATCAATAAGAACATTATCGGTGGCTGAAAGCACTACCCTGTTTATGGCTTGCGTTCCTAAGTAACCGAGGTGCTGCGGAGTACGCACCTCTCTGCGCAGGCTTCACTCATAGGGAACAAATAGCATTTTTACATTTTTTTCACGGCACAACATTGCACCTCGTCCACAGCGCGACAGGCTTTTACACTTTGCATTGTACAAATATCAGACGGTCCTCTTTGCAGCATGGCAAACAAACATATTAAAATTGTAAAGCAAAAAGTGCTGCAATAACAATGAATGGAGCTGTCATCACATCAGCGAGTTCTCAGTTTCACTCCTGTTACACTAATGACAGCTGGATGAGCTCTGCAGTGGACCTCTTACTCACATTGGTTCATAACTGGATGATTAAAAAAACTAAATTGTATACACACTGAATAAAATCCACTATAGCCTTTAAAAATTATAATGTATCTGTTTATGTTATGTTATAGGGCTAATAATTATTAAATATTAAAATGTATTAGTGCTCTGTATTTAATGGAGCTCAACATACCTGATCAAATTTTAATACTCTGAATATAAATGCATTTTTGTTCAACTTTTCCCCATATTTGTTTGTGTAACTAATTTAAATGTAATGTTCAGTATTATTATTAATAGAACAAACTGGTATGAACATTTTAAAGTCAGCAAAGCTTCTAAAAATATGCAAAGTAAAACTTGTGGCTCTTTAAACTTGAATACCCAATTCTAGATTGCATTTAGGAAATTATTTTTTTATCAGTGTAAGTCAGGATTGTTGACCTGAGTAAATTATGATGTGCACAAAAAAAAATAAATAAAAATAAACAAAACACACAGCCTCCATTGTAGTATTGCTAGTTACAACAGTACAGTTAACTGTTAACAGGCTGATGAATGACAAAACTCTTTAAAACTTTAAAGCTTTAAATCTTTAGATACATTTAGACTCTCAGCTGTAAGGGTAAATACAGAAGAGTCTAGCTGTGCATAGGCTGAAAAAAAGCATAAAAATGGCATAAAAACTGTGTAAAGTGACGACTTGTACACAAAATATGGCTTGATGGAATAATCCAGTGAGAGCAGACCACAATGAGTACTGCGCATCAAGATTTGATCAATAGATTGAAGCACTAAAACCATGTCAACTTAACTAACATCTTACAAAAATTCATCCAGATAATGAATAATAATAAATTATTGAATAATATATAATAATATAAATGTATTGAATAATACAATAAAAAAAATTAAGTACATTTGTTAATTTGAGGGGGTGGCGTCATTTTTATTTTTGGGGGGTCCCCAAAAGAATTTGCCCTACACAAAGGGGCCCTCAGCTGAAAAAGTTTGAAAACCCCTGGTCTAGTGTCAGCAGTAGGATTTCTCCTTAGGACACCGACTGCAGACACTACCTCATAATCAAGCCCCTTCAAGAGCAAGCTCCTGAATGGTTAATGTGACATGAGTCTGTACTAAAGTTCAGATTTTCCAACTTAAGCGAATCAAATGAGCAAAACATTCAATTCGTGCGAATCGCACCGCAGGATGTCTATTTACATCTTTGCATTGACTTAACATGTAAATCAGTCACGATTGATGTTTTATCTGCATCTAGATGTGCACGCACCATTAAAACCTTATCTGATAACACATGTTATTATTTTTGTTTAAATTAATTGAATCGCTTTACAGTATGTTCTACAAATATGCTAAATTTATAAATTAATTTAGCCCTCACCTTCATGGATTCCTCCATATGCATGAAGTTTGGGTCGGACCCTCTTCTGTACAGTGTTGAGTAGCTCCACACAGCCCACTCTCTGCAGTTCTTTAGGCACCCAGTCTCTGAACCCTGGACAAAGTCCAACATCACTGCCTTAGTGGCGTATCATCACATTTATGATGACGTGAAAATACAACAATCCATCTGCAGACACAAACTGATGTCTACATGCTCTCCATCTACAGTTACGTTCACTGCTTACCCAGCGGAGGCCCGTGTGTCATAAGAATATCCACGTCTTCGGGGATCTGGTTCCACTTATCCAGGAGAGACTGGCCACGAGGTAAGTTAAAGCCCCATCCATTAAACCACGGGGTCCTGTGAGAGCAGACAAGCACATTTTACACACTTCATAAATGTCCAAATCATCATACACAAGCCTGCAAGCTGTTCTCGCGCACATACTGCAAAGTCAACTGTATTTAAAAAAATCATTTTTCAAGTAGACAAGTTGCTAGACTGTATGAATCTGCAGCTAACTTTTTATACAAGAAGCAGTTTGCCACAAATAGTCTTTTCAACCACGTAGTAGATTTTATGCATTAAGAGAAAAAAAAAACAGTTCTAATTAGGGATGTAACGGTATCAGAATTTCACGGTACGGTAATACCTCGGTATGAATGTCACGGTACGGTATTTATTGAATCATTTACAGGAAAAAACAAAACTTATGAAAATACTCCAAAAAAGTGCCAAAAGTGTCAATGACATACAAATTAGCCATCTATCTGTAAGCTTTGAAACAGGAACTTCAATTTTAATAACAAAAAAAATATTAAACCATGTAAAAAATAAAGTTTCAATTTAGTATTGTTGAAAACTCACCACATTCAACATTTAATCACACTCAGCCCATCTACCCAGATGAGAGCTCTGCTAGTCGGACTTCTCATCAAGCATCTCCCGCTGGATCTAATCTCACTATATTTATTAAACGGGATATTTCATTTATCTTGTTGTCTTTATCTAACAACATATTCCCTGACTTTGGTCATTGGAATCTATTACTTGTTCTCAGGTAACGTGTTTTGGCTGAGCGCAAAGATAAGTTAATGATTAATGTAACCACGTACATTCTGTATATTGACTGATCGCTTGCCTTTATTTGCTATAATGTATAAACTTATTGTATGTTATACTTTTAAAATGGCCATTATCGATTATTAAAACTGATACTCAGCAAAAGAGAGGCTGTGTTTCGTATTTTCACTGAAATTGAAAGGAGGCAGTTGTTATCGGCTCCGTTTTGTTATAAATATCCACACAGTGAAGATGACGCTCATCTTATGCAGCATGACGCCTCAACATGTCTGCTGTCTAAGTTGCTAATATTAAAATGAAAATAGGCAGTTCCTTAAATCATGTTTACATTTTATTGTTGATAAAGTGAAACAACAAAGCCAGGGTGATGTGAATGAAGTTATAAAGTACACTGTTCCCTTTGAAGATTTACCCGTGTCCTCGGTATAGTCTGCTTTTCCATATCAAACTGAGAAGAAGAGACTGCAGCCTTGATCAAACTTGCGAAGTCTGAACTTACAAGGAGAGGATGCAGGACTGAACTGTGCGTGTTAGGCTACTTAATATTCAGGAAAAGCCCCAATCAGAGAGGCGAACGTCTGCAGCCCCGCCTCTGTTTTCAGATGTCTCCGTTTTCCATTATCCACACTGAGACATTATCCACACATTTCGAAACGCTCCGTTTTCGGCGCTCGAGAACTCCGGCGTAGTGTGGACGGTTGGCGTAACGTAGCAAAACTTATGCGTTTTCAAACTAAAACGCATTATTGTAAACGGGGCCTTAGAGTTTTCCAGCTCTTTTCATCCCCGCTTCTAGCAGCACACTCCATTTCCGCATTACTGGATCTGTAGCGACAACAGACCGCAAGGGATGATGGTCAAGCATGGGCTGATGGGTATTGTAGTTTTCGCTACCTCCCGTTCGCTTCATTCGCCTAAGCAAATTTTCTCAGAAGACCTATAGTTTTACCGAGTCATGCGACTTCGGTAATATCGAAAAAAATTAATATTGCGGTATGACGGTATTTACAATACCGTTACATCCCTAGTTCTAATATAAACACTGGCCATTGAGTATGTTTATATGGACACCAAGAATCCAATTTTAATATGATTAAGACAATACTCTGATTAAGAGTCTACAATGTAAACAGCAATTTCTGATTAATTTAATTTGATTAAGGTCATAATTGAACTGCACAGAAATCAGATTAAGACGTGGAGTATACCAATTTTAGTCGCAGTATTGAAGTGCAGTACAGACATGTAAACACCGCAATCAAACTATTACCATCATGTAGGACTTTTCACCACATTTTGTTACAGGATAGTCCATACACACATGGCAGTTTGATATTATTTTCTGAACTATCGAGTCAGTGACGGACCACAGGCACCTGCATCTGAGGCTTTTTTTCTCCAATTCCATGTGCAGTATGAAATTCCATTAAAACAACACTCCTCCAGCAGTTCATACTCGCATCCAATATCTCATTTGTCACGGGGGCATGCATGAAATGTTCCCGAATGAAAGTAAAAGTGCCAATTAAAGTTAAAAATGAAACACCCGAAATTACATGAAAGTCCGGAGGAAATGTGGATCGTGCGATGATGCAATGACTTTAATTGAATTATGTGCTATAACATGTAAAACGGGATCATGAAAGGACCATCCAGAAAGCAACTCATGTAAACACCTTAATTATGTTATTGTCCTATTCAGATTAAGGCAAATAATTAATAATAATTAGTAATAATTGATTACTGATGTTGATTACTGTAGTCAATGTCTATGATGATTAAAGTAGATTAAATCACTCTAGAAATAAACCTACATAGCATTTGATGTTTCAAATGTTATGTGCACAGTACATAGATGCTTAATCCTGTTTTGCACACGCAGTTTGGTAATTTACAAAACTGACAACGACTGCATTCAAACAAGAGTGATAACCACATTTACAAAGAATTTACACAAAAATTATAAGCCCAGAGTCTGCTGGTCAGCAAACCAACATTTAGCACAACTGCGTTGCAGGCATCCTGAACTCTTACATGTAAACAATCTGAACATATGGACCTTTACCAACCCCATGTCTCCTCTTTCTCCTAACTTAACTTGCTGTCAATATATACTGTCCTATAAGAATGCACAATATATAGACAAATTATTGTTATCACGATAATAGTATATGCAATATCCAAATCACAGAGGAGCACAAAAAGATAATTTTATGTGTCAAGCATTTGTGTGCCAAATGCATAGGCTATTTATTCAAATCTGGCCAATCAGATCTTATTGCCAGTAGTTCCTGTTAGATGAACCGAGAGCTGAAAATACAACCTAATGCTGGAAGATAAGAGAGGAAAACAGCCAGTCAGAATCTGAATTTCCGCAGAGGCTTTCAGTCATTCGTGGTGTTTTAGGGCCTACTCACACTATGCTTTCCGAACTGAGCCCAGGCCCGTTTCCCAGATCGTTTGAGAAGTGTGAGTGTGTTGAATTGGGCTCAGAGAGGTTCACTTGGGCTTTGGCGGTGAGTGCAAAACGCACCAAAGCCTGAAACTGAAAGCGAGACATAACTTTTAACGCACTGTTACATATAGATTTATTAATTATTCTTACTGTTCAGTGAACATAAACTGTCATAGATTATTAAAGACTCAAACCCCTCACTGCACGACAGCTGCGCACCTTCAAGAACCTCCTAATTCCTGCAGCACGTGGACTTTATGGTTGTTTATGAGCGCCAAAAGTGGCAGATCTGTTCGGCGAAATATTTGACTGCATGTCACCGCATCCCAAGCAATATAATTAAAGAAATGTCCACTGTGCTGAGCGAGAGTGCTTCCTGAACAGCGCAGCATCGATGACGTAATTGTGCCCTGGCCTGAATGTACTGTGATTGCGGGCCGTCCGGGGAGACAAGCGTGCTTTGGCACGGTTCAAGGCAACTGTACATAGTGTGAGTATGGCCTTGAAGTCTAAGGGCCCTATCATACACCCCAGGTTTTAGACCGCATGGGGCATAGCATGTGTATTTGGATATAACTCGTTTTTGGACCACACTTATATAATTATATTAATTATATTATTATATAATTATATTATTGTTCATTTATTTGTTTGCTTGTAATTGGAACTGAATTTAGAAATAGTTTTGAAACAAATCTTTGTGCTTAATAAACAAAATTAATTATGTAGACTAATGGATGTCTGTGCATACATGTTTCCCTATCCACAAGAGTGAAAGTAAAGAATGAGGAGGCTCATCTCCTGATTATAGCACTGCAGATGCTCTGTTTAACTGTTTTCTCTCTAGTGAAGTGATTAGTTTTTCCACTTACAAAGTCCGCCATGTAAATAGCAAATGCGCTATGGCGCGACAACTGATTCTTAAAGGGAATGGGATATGAGACTGATTGGTTTATTCCCAAAACACACCTATAACTCAAGAGATAAAGCTCAACCCTGTTAGACCATGCACCGTGGCGCAAAGCGGATTATTCTGTCCTTGAAAAAGCAAAAGTGGATTCTGACACGCCCTTAATGCTTTTGGGTCCTGCACTTTGAACTTTGGCATGGATCATCAAAATAGAGCCCTAAATGTTTGCACCTTGACATTAAAAAAAAAAAATAGCTCAGGAAAGTATAATACTTTAGTATGATCATCATTGCATAAATAAATGATTTTTTAATAAAATAGAGTTTTGCAAGTTAGTTATATCATAAGCAATCGCAATACACAACAACATTGTATATTTTCCCAGTATTGTGCAGCCCTACAGTAAAATAAATCTGTACAATTAAAAATAAAACAATTGTACTCAGGAACTCAGTCTTTACAGTGGTCATTTAGCCAAAGCTCTTGAAATGGACATTTGACTTACAGTAGGTGACTGTCAGCTGACGAGCGGTAAAAAAATAAAATTATGCTGAAAAACTATAGTGATGGGCAAAATGTGTGAACGTGATTAAAAAAACATAATACAGTGTAGAAAATATATTTTTACAGTATTTTGCCAAATTGTTGTAAAAACTGTCACTTGCTAGAAATGACCCTTTTTGCTTGGTAGCACCCGTTCTCCTAACTTCAAAAATTTAGCTGCACCAGACAAAATTTAGTTGCACCCACCAATCATGTGCACCATTACTACAAGTTTTATATTAATGTATTTATCACATTTGAAATCAACAGTATTCAAACTAACAAGCAAAAAAAATCTGCATGCACCCACTGGCCTTGCAAGCAGTGCTTGAATGAGATAAACGATACTGAGGTAACAATAATAACTGT